AATTGCCCGTTTAGTCACTTGTATCTACTTAAGAGGCACACTCCTCTTGAGTATCACTTTATGTCCCACAGTCCAGTCCAATCCCTGTCTGAAGAGTTGGCCGCAGAAATTGTTTTAGTTCTGGGCTGATAGAGGATCCAAGGGCCATGCTTTCTGGGGTTCCTCCAGTCTCAGTCAGACCATTAAGTCTGGTCTTTTTATTAGAATGTGAGTTCTGCACCCCACCTTTCTCTTGCTCCAACAGGGACTCTCTGTTGTGTTCCCTGTCAGGGCAGTCATTGGTGGTAGCTGGGTACCATGTAGTTCTTCTGGTCTCAGGCTGATGAAGTCTCTGGTTTATGTGGCCGTTTCTGTCTCTTGGTCTAATACTTTCCTTGTTTCTTTGGTGCTGTACATTGTCCTTTACTCCAGGTAGTTGGGACCAATTGATGCATCTTTGATGGCCACTTGCAAGCTTTTAAGACCCCAGATGCCACTCACCACAGTAGGATGCAGAACATTTTCTTAATAAACTTTGTTAGCCAGTTGGCCTAAATGTCCCCTGAAAGGATGGTCCCCAGACCCCTAACCGTGCTACTTTGTCCCTCAAAGTGTTTGATTGTATTCAGGAAACTTCTTAGCTTTGGTTTAGCCCAGTTGTGCTGACTTCGCCTGTAGTGTGTGCTGTCCTTCCCTTCACCTAAGATAATTCTTGTCTACTGTCTAGTTAACGAATACCCCTCTTCCTCCCTCCCTACCCTCGTAACCATCAAAGAATGTTTTTTTCTGTGTTTAAAACTTTTCTTGAATTCTTATAATAGTGTCTTATACAATATTTGTCCTGTTTCTGACTAAATTCGCTCAGCATAATGCCCTCTTGATTCCTGTATGTTATAAAATATTTCATGGTTTCATTGTTGTTCTTTATTGTTGCATAGCATTCCTTTGTGTGGATATACCTTAATTTGTTTATCCATTCGTCCATTGATGGGCACCTGGGGTGTTTCTGTCTTTTTGCTATCGTGAACAGTGCTGCAATGAACATGGGTGTGTGTATACATATTCATGTGACGGCTCTTATTTCTCTAGGATATGTTCGAAGGAGTGGGACAGCTGGAGCGTATGGTACTTCTATTTCTAGCTTTTTAAGGAAGTGCCTAATCAATTTCCAAAGTGGTTGTACCATTTTACATTCCCACCAACAGTGTATAAGTGTTCCGGTCTTTCCACAACCTCTCAAGCATTTATTATTTTGTTTTTTTGGGATTAATGCTAGCCTTTTTGGGGTGAGATGTTATCTCATTGTAGTTTTGGTCTGCATTTCTCTAATGGCTAATGATCGTGAGCATTTCTTCATGCGTCTGTTAGCCACATGAATATCTTCTTTGGTGAAGTGCCTGTTCATATCCTTTGCCTATTTTTAAATTGGGTTGTTTGTCTTTTCGTTGTTGAGGTTTTGCAGTATCCTGTAGATTTTAGAGATTAGACGCTGATCGGATTTTTTGTAGCCAAAATTTTTTTCCCAGTCTGTAGGTTGTCTTTTGACTCTTTTGGTGAAATCTTTTGATGAGTATAAATGTTTGATATTTAGGAGCTTCCAGTTATCTAGTCTCTGTTCTGATGTTTGTGCATTGTTACTTATGGTTTATATTCTGTTTATGCCATGTATTTAAGGCTCCTAGTGTTGTCCCTCTTTTTTCTTCCGTATCTTTATCATTTATATTTTGTATTCAGGTCTTTGATGCATTTTGAGTTTGTTTTTGTGCATGTTGTGAGGTATGAGTCTTGTTTCAATTTTTGGAGATTGATATCGTGTTCTGCCAGCACCATTTGTTAAAGAGACTGTCTTTTCTCCAGTTAACGAACTTTGGGCCTTTGTCAAATATCAGCTGCTCATAGGTGGATGAATTTATGTCTAGATTCTTAATTCTGTTCCATTGGTCTATGTCTGTGTTGTTTTACCAGTATCAGGCTGTTTTGACTACGATGGCAGTATAATAGGTTCTAAAATCAGGTAGTGTGAGGCTTCCCACTTTGTTGTTCTTCTTGAGTAATGCCTTACTTATCCCGGGCCTCTTACCTTTCCATGTGAAGTTGGTAATTTGTTTCTCCATCTCATTAAAAAATGCTGTTGGAGTTTGGATTGAGATTGCATTGTATGTGTAGATTTCTTTGGGTAGAATTGACATTTTGACAATGAGCAAGGTATATTTTTCCACTTACGGTGGTCTCTTCTGGTTTCTTGCAGTAGTGTTTTGAAAACCAGTGTTTTATTTCTTTATGTTTTCCAAGGCTTTAATCTTTATGGAAACAGACTACCACATCTTTCTGCCATGGAGTGACTGATGGGTTTGAACCGTTGACGTTTTGGTTAGCAGCTGAGCGTGTAACCGCTGTGTCACCAGGGCTCTTGTCAAAGTCATGTGTTATTCAGATCCAGTATTGCCATTTGATTCTTTCCTATGGTTTCTGTCTCTCTGCTGAATTTACCCGTCTGTTCTTGCATGGTGCCTACCTTTTGTATTAGGACTTTTAACATACTAATCATAGTTTTTAAAATTCCATTTTATATTTTTCAATACTTTTGTTGTATCTGAATTTGGTTCTGCTAATGTCTTTGTCTTTTGGAAGTGTGTGTGTACCTTTTTGTATGCCTCATAATGTTTTTAGCTTAAAGTCTGACTTCTTGTTTAGAACAGTATGGACTGAAGTGAATTACGTTTGGAAATGAGAACACCTTTCCTTCTGCTAGACCTTTGTTGTTTGAAGTTTCAGTTAGTCTAGTCAGGAGCTAGGCTCAAGTTGAAGTTTGGTTTTTTTTTTTTTTCTTACCCTCACTGCTCTACAGGCTTTAAATTGCTTTAGGGATACCTTGTGTTTAGCATGGGCTGGCTTGCCAGACGTTTTTCTCATTGTCTCATCTGCCCTGAGCTTTAGATTTTACCCTTGCACTACCTCTTAGTTAGGGTCTATCACTATGATCTTGCAACTTCTCCTGCAGTATTCTGTTGTTGTTACTGATGCTTGTTAGCTTGGTGGTGGGTGGCTGGGAGCGGGTAAGGTGGTGTACCTGTGTATTGTTCTAATTAAACCTCAGCTGTGGCCAGACACTGTGTCCCTGGGCCTTGGGGGCATAGCCTTTTCAGTGTTCCCTCCCCTCTCGTAGCTGTATTCTGGGTCTAGTACTTGCTCCTGCCCCTTTCCCAGATAAGGAGAGTTTTTCTGTTTCCTTTCCCCAACGAGTGGTGGCTTGCACATGTGCTTTAATGGTGACAGTGTTTGTTACTCTTCTCCCCAGAGATTATGGCTTTTTTTCTATAAAGGATATAGGGATGAAGGTTCCAGGTGGTGTTTCTTGTCCCTGCCCAGGCCTGCACCAGGAGGCACTCTTCTCAGGCTCTGTCAAGTGTGAGAGGGGATTATTTTCCCATATCCTCACCAATATAATGTCAGAGTTTTTAGTCTTTTCTTATCTGATACATGAACGTGTTATTTTGTTATTATTTTAACTTGTACTTTGTTAATTTTAAGTGAGTAAATATTTAATGATGGAACACTAAAACATTTTTATTGAAGTCTAGAATCTAACAAGGATGACTAATTTCATCATTATTATTTAACATTTTTGTGGCCAATGTAATGAGACATGAAATGAAAAATATTGGAAGGGGGGCAACTACATTATAATTTATGACTGCACACCTAAAAAATCCCATTAAAAAACTGGAAAAATTGTATAGTTTTTAAGAGAGTTTAGGAAGGTGGCTGGACACAGGATAACTATACAAAAAAACGTATTTTCTTTAACTGGTAATAGACAGATGAAATGAACAATAGGAAATGAATAATAATGAAATCTTATTTATTATAAATAATAAAGCCTAAATCTGAGTGAAAGCCTTGGTTGCACAGTGGTTAAGTGCTCAGCTGCTAACCAAAACATTGATGGTTCGAACCGACCAGCTGCTCCATGGAAAAAAGACGTAGCAGTCTGCTTCCGTAAAGATTTACAAGTCTTTGGAATCCTGTGAGGCAGTTCTACTCTGTCCTGTAGGGTCACTTTAAGTCTGAGTCAATGAGACGGGAAGAGTTTTTTTTTTGGTACATAATAAACCAAAACCAAACCCATTGCTGTCACGTTAATTCCAAGTCATAGTGAACCTATAAGTAAGTAAAAACATAAGGTACCTGGAAATAATCCTGAGAGGATAATAAAGAACGTAGCTTTCCCCAGAACTCCCTCCATCCTTTCGTTTTGTGTAGCATCTTTCAGAATTTGTCGTAGGACATGTTGGAGTAAGAAATGCAAAATCATCTCAAGGAGATGCAATGATTGACCAGTATCTAAGACTTTAATGCAATGTTGACGAAACAAAGTAACATAATAGGATGTATCATTATGAATGCAACTTGTTTTACCATCATAAAAATGTATTACAAGGGAGAGTTACAGAAATAAACATATTTTATGTAAGCATACTGATTTAAGGACATGAATTTTCCAGTTTTGGCGACAACAGAAAGTATTGTGGCTGGTGCTGTGGCTACATTTTCCCCCGTGGAACAGAGTGAAACAAAATTTCCACTCTTGTGAGCTCACTACAAGTTGATCTCTCTCACTTTTGTTGAGAATCTCTCAGTACAGTTCCCAAGCATAATGTTCTAGCTTCCCTACTCATGTTGTGAAATGTTGACTCAGGTGACAGTGATGGTAATGTAGTGGTGAGAGGTAGTCTTGTGTTTATATGTGCCCATGTCTGATATGATGAAGAGTAAGAGAGTGTTCATCAACATGTAACTGGAGAGATGACCCAATTGGAGCTCCGGGGGCTGGGCAAAGATGTTGAATGACTTCTCTGTCCACCCCTCTCTGCTAGGTGGCATGACTTAAAATACTGCTATAGATAAATAGCTGAGCACTTAGGAGGAAACGATGTTGATTTATGGGATGCCCGATAGTAGATGACTAGCTGAGACCCTGTCACAGGCTGTCTTTTAGAACTTTTGCATCTTGTTCTTAGGCACCACACCAATCCGGTGGGCACCGAATGGCGGTGGAAGATGGACCAGCCTGAAATGATCTTAAAAGAAGCCATTGAAAACCATCAAAACATGATTAAGCAATTTAAAGGTATTTATCTTCCCTCTAGAAAGGAATGCTAATGCCTTTTAATAGCTGGAATTTAATTGGCACAGGAACTGCCTCTTTGGCAGGATTTTCTCCTCACTGGCAAATTTTCATATAGGGTATTGAAAACTTGTAGAAATATTGTATGCATGACTTATGGCCTTTTTAGTTTTTACTGATAACTTTTATATCCCATATGATGGAAGAACTAAAAAAATTAATCCAAAGCTTGACAACTTATAATACAGTGCCCTCAACCTGTAAGTTTTGCCTAGGAATGTATTAATCATCCTTTCTATAAACATTTGTTATTGTTCTGACTTGGTGAGCCCAAAACAGCCCTATCAATGGAGTGAAAATTTTAGGTTGTTGGAAAAATTCCAAATCACATTAGTTAGTGTTGAGAAAACTTTTTTGAATAAAAACTATATTAAAATGTAGGGATAATATTAATAAAAGTGTTCTCTGCATGATCCAAAGTGATAAAAAATTTTGCCACTCTAAATCCTGTCTCGTAGTTAAAGCTGTTTGACTTCACTGGGAATGACTGATTCTCAGACTTTAGCACATATTGGAATCATCTGGAGGGCTTATGAAAGCTCAGATTGCTGGGCTTGCTCCCCAGAGAGTCTGATTCACCAGCTCTGGGATGAGGCCCAAGAATGTGCATTTCTAACAGTTTCCAGGTGATGTTGATGTTGCTGATCTGGGGACCACGCTTTGAGAACCACTACTGTACACAGATATAATAGATATGTAGAGTTACAAAGTGATGGTACAGATGTACATGATGAATTGAAATTTGCTAGTTTCCCTGATAAGCCCTGTCTGTACCTACTACTTTGTCTTAGGCTGGGTTCTCTAGAGAAGCAAAACCAGTGAAGTGTATAAGTACATATATATAGAAAGGTTTATGTCAAGGAAATGGCTCATGCAATTGTAGAGGCTGGAAAGTCCCAAGCCTGTGGATCAGGCTGGAGGATTCTCCTGATTCATGTAGCTGCAGGAGCTGGCAAACCCAAGATCACCAGGCCTCTGGCTCACAGGCTGCAGAGGCTGATGAATCCCAAGATTGGCGGGTAAGCTGCTAGGTCAAGTCCCAAGAACCAGAGGCCAGGTGAACAGGAGCCAGCTGCAGGATCCAGAGCAAGCAAAAACCAGCTAGCTTTGCCAGAAAGTCCACCTATATTGGATGCAGGCCATAGCCCCAAGGAAACTTCCTTTCAATTGATTGGCTGCTCATAACAGATGTTATCATGGAGGTGATTATATCAGATCTCATTATGAAAGTGATTACATAATTACATAGCTGCCAGACCACATCATAACTGCCAAACCGTTGTGAGAATCATGGCCTAGCCAAGGTGACACCTAACCATCACACACTTGTAACTCCTTCTCACCTATATTCTCCTTTCCCTTCATTTGTAACAATGAAGAATTAATTCTAACCAGAGTTATTCTGATTTTGATGCAGGCACTGTTAATGATGCTAACATCATATATGGCAGTCTTTGTAAACCCCAGTGATTAGTGTTTTTCATGCAGGGACATTTGTTCTATTCAGTTTCTTGAGACTATAGTACTTCTTTTTACACTTTTCTTATTTCTTACAAGACGTTGAGAAAAATAATGCAAATAATGGTTCAAGACTGAAAGCATTTTATAAAGGACAATTAGGCAGTCATTCTACCTTTATTTTTTCCTTTATGGATTTTCTAGGGAAAGTTGACCTGTATGCGTTTTGTGTGCCTGTGTTGACGTATTTTTGTACATCTGTAAAGACCCTAATAAAAATTTTAATTTTTCGTCTTGACTTTTAGTCTCAAACTTTTTTTTTTTTTGGTAGAGATTACTTTCTCTTATTTGGATAAAGCAGTATCTGTTACCAGTCTTTTGAAAAATTAAATTGTTTGGTGAAGAACTAATAAGTCCCTAACTCTGGAATTTGACTAACTCTTTTTAGATTTATTGTTGATTGGGTTAATATTATTGATTGCTGATCTTCAGATACACCCTATACCTTTTAAATAAATTTCACGGCAAAGTCTTATTTTCTTCTGGTTAGTAATATACAAAAATACTAAAAAACCAAACCAGTTGCCGTCAAGTGATACAAACCTATGGCGACCTCATGTTTGTCGGAGTAGAGCTGTGCTCCACAAGGTTTTCGTGGCTGTGAACTTTGGAAGGAGATCACCAGGCCTGTCTTCCAAGGTGCCTCTGGGTGGGTTCAAACTCCCAATCTTTCAGTTAGCAGCCCAACACTTAACTGTTCATACCACCCAGGGGCTCTTGTAGTAATATCAGAAGCAGGCAAATGCCAGTAGTTTTATCGTTATATTCTAATAAGTTTGTTCTTGGTTCAGTGCTTAAAGAACCAGTTTCACCCTTAACTAATGGGATGATAACTGAGGATCTGTTTCCTGGACCTCCAAAAACCTTCCTGAATGAATTGTGTCCCGGGCAGTTTGTGTGAGAGGAAGCAGCCCCAGGGAGTAGACATTCATTTCTCCATTCTGAGGTGTCCTTGATGTAGAATGATCTGAGTCCTGATAGCAATTTTTTTGATGGAAGCATTTTTTCACAGGCAGAGCACCACTTTAAATGGAAATAAGTAATGAATAAGTCATGACGTGGACCTTACTCAGGCTGACTGACAAAATGCATTACGTGAGCCCAGACATGCTCTTCGCTGTCTGTCTGGCTTGTTGGAGGGACTTGTCCAGCTAGGTATACGTGAGAGGTATCAGATAGGTGTATTTATAACCAGAAAGGTATTATCTAGCTCGTAACCTTGTACTTGCTTCAATAAGTAGGCATCTCACGTGGTTTGTCTTCAGGTTCCTGTGGCTTAAAAAAACAAACAAAATTTTTAAAGTATATATTGTCTTGTAGCGGGTGATAGGATACAGGATTGCAGGGAAAAAGAATAGAGTATATCTGTGGGCAGGTGCATCCTGAATAGAGATTAGAATGCATAAGAGGGAGGGAAGGTCCCCAGAAATTCAACAACTGCCAACAGTTTGATTCTTAGAAACAGCTATTACAGAGTATCTGCCTTGCCCTGGTAATGCCCACAGAGGATATTTTTTCACACCCTCGTTGACTGAGGGGAGTCCCTGGGTGGTGCAAACGGTTAAGTGCACTTGGCTAACTGATAGGTTGGAGGTTTAAGTCAGGTCAGAGGTGCCTCAGAAGAAAGGCCTGGTGATCTCCTTCCAAAAAGTCAACCATTGAAAACCCTATGGACCACAGTTCCACTCTGATACACGTGGCATGAGAGTTGGAATTAACTTGACGGCAACTGGTTGGTTTTTTTATTGATTGACTTGACAAAATGTTACCATGCCAGCGAAACATTATTTATTTAATCAACGATAAATTTGGTGAGACGATTTTAATACTGGAACTGGTTGATATTTGTACACTGACACTCTTCAGTGTAGGAAAGCAATTTCTTTTTAACCTAGTAGAAAACAGATGTGTATTTGAAGCTGTGGTGGGTGCAGATGGGTCACCACATGGGTATAATGGAGCTCTCGTTTGTTATATTTTACTTGTATATGATTTACCTTTTTACAATGAATGAGAACACTTAATTTCCAATTTTTTGGACTGTTTAGTGCTTTTTACTTCATTTGGAGCTTAAGTCATTACTTTTTGAAAATCTGTCTTATTACTATAATGATCACAGTAAATCTTGCTGTGAAGCTACAGTATTAGAAAAGAAAAAACCCTAATTATTGAAAGATGAAATACATAATTTGTAAGAATATGGAGCTCTTCTGGAAAAGGGATGGTAGTCTGCAGCACTTAGAAGAAAAAATATTATTTATTTTCTTTTTAAAATATTGTAACATTTGGTGATATGGAATTTTAGTATTTGAGAATATTGGTTATGGCTCTAAGCAGAAAGTAAACTGTTCAAGTTTATGGTTGATTATTTTATTGTAGACATTCACTAGGCAATGAGATTTTATAACGTCACTCAGTTACTTATACTAGTCTTTACCAATGATTATAGTTGGTTTTCTTTCCCTTGAACCCAAATTCCTCCTATAATAAGTCAGGTGTCCATGTTCTATCCTTCATTCATCCCTAGTGGTTAAGGGCATAAAACAAATCAGCCTCCTTTCTAGACATGCTCATCATAGGCTCCTTTCAGAATAAGGATGATGAGACTGATGGCTTAGGGTGAGTCACTGTACCTCTCTGATCCTAGTGCCCTCACCTTACTGTAGGTCTGACATGGATTCTACATTGGGACTCTAAAGATGCAGAAATGCAACTCGAGACCTCATTTCAGTCCCTGGTGGAGGGTCTTTTCTCCATCTTCCCCAGATTTGACCTTCTCAATAGAGACTGGCTTGGAGAAGTGAAAAATCTCACACAGATGTAGAGGAACCCACCTGTAGATGCCCTGTGTGAAACTCATTCCCCTTCCTCTTCTTTCAGTCTGTCATAGAGTAACAATGCAGAATCTGTTTAAAATTAAGAGATTTATTGAAAGTGAAAGACAACTTGAGCCAGGGAACATGGACCTCACAGGGTGTAAATCCAGTGCTCCAGGGAGGACTAGTACTGCGAGGATAGCTATAGGGCTAAACTAGGATCTTAGATTACAGTATTCTGATTGGTTGCTAAGTGATTAGGGAAGTGGGAGATGAGACATCTTGAAGCAGGGCTTTTGCTAGGATGGGTTTACAGACACCATGCATAATCGCAGAGGTGCATGCGGATGGTAGGGACGAGGAGCAGGGGTTGATGATTGATTGTAGAGCAGATCAACTCCAGCTCGAAGTCCCCTGTAATGTAAAGGTTGGCCATCTGGTTAAACGAAGAGGGAGTTAGATCCTAGGTGATTACAGAATAGATTTTCTGAGAGTGGATTGTTAAGATAACTAACTGGCTTAAAGTAAAATGATTTCATGAGGACATCTTACACAAAGGGTTTTGATAACTATTTGAACAATGACTCCCAGGGAGCATTCTGCTGACAT